TTGAAGATTGTGAAAACAGTGACAAATCACCCCAAACAAAATACCTTTTTAAAATAAAAGCATTTTGAAATTATTAGTTATTAATAAATCACTTAACTTTGAACATGTTGTGATATTTAGAAATACCAACAAATTCAATATAGTGTCGATAATATTTGCTATTTTACTTTTTCAAGGAAATGTTTATTTGTTAAAAGAAAACTCATGCCAGGAGCTGGGTTCGAGCCCCCGGCCTCTAGCATGCAAGTCACACGCCAAAGCCATTACACCAACGGGCCGCTTGACAACTTAAGCTATAGCTGAAAAGGGCAGGCAAAATGTTTCCAAGTAAATGAGTCAAATTGATGCAGATGTTTACAAAGCGTACTATGGTAATAATTTTGGTTATATGAATATAATTATATTGTTATTAATTTCTTTAGATACGCGATTCCCTATCATATTCCCTATTAATCAAATTCACACAGTACAGGGTCTTACCGCGCATTTTGAACGGCTGCGTCTGTAATACTTTTCCTCTTCCACTTAAACAAGAAATGTTTTCCTGCATTAAAGTACTTAAGAAATTTCTTCCCTATTAGCTTGTCTCAGACACTCCGATACTGGTCTCTAAACAAAAAGCCTGGAGCTCTTTGCCTCAACCTTGTACGTACAAGCTCCAAGGACAATGGAAAACAGCTGTGAAAAAACAACCCACTGAACCCAAAAGTCATTCTCAATTGTCTCTTATCTTCCTGGTATTTGTAGCTCTGGCTGGAAGGCCTTAGTCTGGAACTACATTACCATATTATGTTACAGAGAGTTTAAACTTTTACACATCCTAGACTCCTGAGCCCTTAATACACCCCCTTCCTGACCTTGCTTCTCATGCCTTTACAGCCTTTTACAGCAATTTTGAGGTCAAACATTTCATATATAATAACCCATAGTCCATAAAAGCTTATTTAGAACATACACAAAAGTAGAAAGATTTGGAATAGTTGCAATTTGTCACTTTGAAATGGGCTTTTTCTATGTGTACACTTACAATATTGAATAGGATACACTACTTGCAAAAACTGCTGGTACAGACTTGAATATAATAATTAATACAACTAAAAGGAAGACACTAAAAGCAGACAATTTGCATGCAGTACAAAACACCCTACAACATCTAAAACAGAAAAGCTGAGCAAAGAAGCTTTACGCAAAACAAGCATGAAGCCATCTATGTACTGAACATGCATATAAAAGTATTAGGTCTTGCCACTTGGTGGCAGACTTGGAACAAAACATGCCTGCTCATATTTTCATAGTACTTTCAGAGGAAGTTTCTCTACCATATGTCCCTGGGATTAATTTTGCAGAAGAAAATAACCCAAACTACCTCATCAACGTTCCAGGTTCTAATACTTTAATACTCAAATCCTCTATTACTTAAACAACAAAATTTCACCAACAAAAATCTTTCACAGACTAATTATTTCTCCAATACTTTGGTACAGGTGTCCAAACAAAACACCTGGATGTCTAGCTCCATGTGTTTGAATTTAGCACAATTTTCATTTTCAATTTCAGGGATTTGTGAAAGGAACATGTTCTCTCCCTTGAAGACGATTTTCAGTTCAAGCATTAACTCTGATGCTGGGCTACCGTGTGAGAGAACACAGAAGTTAAGAGTGGGTGAGATCAGTGAGAAATTTGAATGATGGGCCAGTTCCTCCCCAATTTCGAAGCAATCAACAGAATCAGCAGGACAGAGACAGAGCTTCATGGATTCTAATCAGTGGAAGGCCTTGCTGCAATATGAACCCTAAACTGATATCAGACGACTATCAGTACAGAACTCCATCCTCTCCATGAGTCTATATGAGACTGTGAGATCACAGTTCACTTACTGGACAGTCAAAACCTATCTGCTGGGACACACACATTTAAATGTGCTGGGTCAACATTAGAGACACCAGTCCTTTTATTGACTTAACTGCTGAATTATTATTTTCATCTGGACTTTTGACTACTTTCTGTTGACATTCTGCACGCCTTCCAGTCTGACAGCACCCTTACTCATATGTCCATCTGATGCTTAATCTCGTTTCATGCAAGGTGCTTTCTTAAGGTGCGGTCTACTGAAATTCAAACAGAAAACAGTCATTAACTTTTAATACAGCCAAAGTTAAAATTCCTTGGGATTTGTAATTTACCCAGATGAGTTATAAAAAAGGGTCACAAAATAAAAACATAGATCTGTGCTTGTAACGTAGAACTTGAAGCAATTGTGATGTTCCCGTTCATATCTAGATAAACATCACTCACCATGACCACTAGAGGCCAGAAAAACCTGCTTCAAACAAATCTAAGTTTAGCAACACCACATGACATATTATGCAAGTTTGTCATTATAGCACATACTGTATGTACTGTAGATGCAACATTTAAGTATTGATGACTCAAATTGACAGCATCCTCTGTAGAAGGACACAGAATTACATACACAATGTTTTAAAGTACAATAATGTTTAATATAGTGCAGTTGTGTGCATTTTCTAATCATCCTGTTCGGGTGTCCTGCCAAGACCTGACAGACACCAGGCAGTTTCCCTTTCTTCCTTGGCAATGAATGCTTCCTCTGCTCATGCCATGCAGGATATTCTATTGCCACAGCTGCTCTGATCCCAATAAGGGAAGTAAACTAACACCCTCAACACACTCTCCTGTTGAAGAAAACATAAAAAGATAGGCTATACTGCAGTGTCCTTAACCTTGGTTACTATTTGTAACGGAAATGTACTATTTTTATCTTACTGGATGTTATCATTTGTTTATTTACTTAAATACAAATTGACCTGGCATATTCTTCATTCATTTTGGCGGATGTCTTCTTCTGAGGAAACGTAAAATTTATCATCTCATGAGTTACAAGTCTACTTGCATTGTACAGAACATGACCTTAAAAAAACTGAACTAAAACAGATATGATATATTAAACTACAGAATGGTCAAAGAAATTTACAGATATTGAATTCTAAATCCTAGAGCCCAAATAACATAGTTATAGTAATAATTGCTTACACTAATATTGCGCTTTTCTGGACACTCCACTCAAAGAGCTTTACAGGTAATGGGGACTCCCCTCCACCACCACCAATGTGCAGCATCCACCTGGATGATGCGATGGCAGCCATAGAGCACCAGAACGCTCACCACACATCAGCTATCAGTGGGGAGGAGAGAAGAGCAATGAAGCCAATTCATAGATGGGGATTATTAGGAGGCCATGATTGGTAAAGACCAATAGGAAATTTGGCCAGGACGCCGGTGTTTCACCCCTACTCTTTTTGAGAAAAGCCCTGGGATTTTTAATGACCACAGAGGGTCAGGACCTCGATTTTACATCTCATCTGAAGGATGGCACCTGTTTACAGTATAGTGTCCCCATCACTATACTGGGGTATTAGGACCCACATGGACCGCAGGGTGAGCAACCCCTGCTGGCCCCACTAACACCTCTTCCAGCAGTAACCTTAGTTTATCCCAGGAGGTCTCCCATCCAGGTACTGACCAGGCTCACACCCACTTTAGCTTCAGTGGGTTGCCAGTTGTGAGTTGCAGACTGATATGGCTGCTGGCTAGTTAATTATTTAAATAATAGGATGTACATTTAATGTTTGATGGGAAGACAAATACATTTTTAATCTCTCATTAATACTTCTGGTTCGCACACATTTAGTTTAAGTAAAATTCTGAGAGTCACTGGATATTGTGGTGTTTGATATCTTGAAGCAACTGTGATACTGAGCTGTGAAACGTTAGCCATTAACCCCAAATATATGAAAATTCAATCACAGAGGTTTGTGCAGCTGGGACTTTTATGATTTATTACCTGATAATTAATACATGAAATAACTGCCAAATAATTGCTTTTCATTAGGAAGATATGAATTCACTATTTCATTATTGATTGGCAATTAAAGGGGAAATCCAGTGGGAAACAAAAATCAAACTACATAGCAAATAGCAGTTCAAAAGATATTACGACACTGTATGATAATCACATGTTCCAAATTGTCTTCGTACAGCTACCTGTACTGTATACTGCCAGACAAAAAAAAAACATCAGCCCACTCAGAGTATTTTCCTGAGCCACAAAAGATCCCTGCATGGACAGGGAGAGGCACGTTTTGAACTATGATGCCCATAGCAGTATTTGTGGATACTAGAACTCCTATCTTATAACTCATTTTAATAGTTATTTAGACACACCTACACCTAGTTAAGGCTTACTATTCAGTACTTATCATAGGCAGGAGACCTGAGATTCAATTTATGAATACAGAACACTGCTGCCTATAGATTTACGAGAATGCTTTTGATCTCTTGTTAAATGTTTCTGCAATGATGTTTTAGCACATCCACAACCACGGTTGCCATTTGACCGCATTAGTACAATTATAGCACCTCTTCATACGAGAAGGCGGCTTCTTTTTTAATTTCCCCTGCTTTTTTCACAGCCCAGAATGTACCATGAAATAAAAACGAGACAGATCCTCCATACGCTAGAAGAACAATCATGTGTAAACATTCTACCGTAGTTGCAGAGAAATTACATATGTCTAGAAAAAAAAACAATAAATATAATAAATGATATTATTAGATACAGTATATAATTAATTATTATACAGCTATAATTATAAGGTAAATTCTTATGGTATGTTTCAATATGTGACATCTTTGCACTTTGAGCATTACTTGCATTATCACCACTTCACAAGCCATATACCTAAGCAACCATTGGTTTTGATTCAATATTGAACGACTTGTTTATAAAAGTATTATAGTAAAAATGTTATAATACTATGATAATAATACATTTCCACTAGCATTAGAGAATTAACTTCTGGCCACACCTTGACCATCAAAGCAGAATCACTTTGTATGCGGTCAGTTAGCTGGTGATAGGTAATGTGAATAGGCACTGCACAAAGAGTAAGACATTTGTTTCAGACTCATTAGAACAGTACCTTGCCAGCTATCATTGCACACGCACAGCTTCTCCCCAGTCAAGTCGCAGTAGCCATGGTCCGGGCTGCCACAGTTGTTCCTACAATAGGGGATGTCACAGGCCTCGCCTTTCCAGTATTTGTCACATTCACAGTACACCCTGCTGGCAATGGAGTTCCCAGTCGTACACTTTCCATGGCCTGAGCAATTGTTGGGGCATGAATTAATTCTGCAAACAAAAAAAAAATAGAACACATAATGCAGCAGCAACCTCCTCTCTCTTCAGCTGTGTGCATGATATCCATGCCTGACTTTAACCCATACAAAGTACAGACTAAGCAAATGACTGGCAACTGACGGGCTTAGTCTATGTGCATTATCTGAGAACAATGTCTCTTTCCATTCTACAGGAGCTCATTCTACAGGCTCTACAGGCTTAACATTACACACACACATAAACCAATGCCACAAAAAGAGGTTTTTGATGGTTCAATGACTATTGCAATTCTATTATTAATGCTCACCATAGTTTCAATGTAGAAACCGGCATTTGTACCATACCTGAAACAGTCAGTGATCTGAACTTGAGAGCTTTACTTTATGTGCCAGACGAAACCTTTTGCATATTGTATACAGTTACCTCCAGAGTTTGAAAGTTCTTGGAAGATGGAAGAGAAAGTCATTTAAAATGCAAATACATTCAGCATAAATTGAGGTAGTCAGTGCCGCAAGACTTCAAAGAGAAGTCATTATTCATTCACACAGTAACAATTGATTAGATGCTCTCTACTGTGCTTTTTGACTGTTTTATCAAATGATTTACTCCATTCACATCAACAGAAATTGAAATGTGTCTCTAAAAATAAAAAATACAGGAAATTGTAACAAGGAAAGGTTGAGTCTTAAACCTTTGCAAAACAGCAATGAAAAAATGTAATTCTTTTGTCTTTTTTTCTGGGACTGCCACAAACCAAAACTTCTCAGCAATCTAAATATTGCAGTTGAAAACAAAATAAAGTTGCCACAATCATTTCTCTCTCATGTACTACTATACAATAAAACAACTTTGCTAATGCAGCTTTAACAGAGCCAGCTGTGTTTCCAGTATTTCTCTGCTAACTACTTCCATCACTTTGACTTTGTTAGGTCTAACAATTACATGCAAGCTAATACTGACTATCTTTTTTGTTTCCCGATTACACCATGATTTTAAATCTTTGTAAATTATACAGCTACACACCTGGTTTGTTAAGAGCTTCAGTGAAAGATAAAGTGTATAGGAACTGCACTTTATTTGCTGTTACATCAATCCACTGCTCTTTCAACAAACTTTATATAACCGATTAATTGTAAAGTAATTATAAATTATTTATTTAAACTTATAAAGATGTGATATTGAAAATTTCTACCAATGTCACTTTGAAAAGAGGAAACAAACATTCAGTAAGTTTTAAACTACAGAAGTGATTTGCTGCCATCAACAAAACAAGATCCTTAGTTATTTTGTAAAAACTAGAATATTACCTCGTAATTAGGAGATAGCACATTCTTACGTACTGTATGTGATCATTATGCGACGCCACAACTGTCATAATATCTACATTATTATTACTGGACTTTCAGTTTACACAGTGAAACTGACTGCATGATACACTCATTCTTGTTTAAGGATGTGCGACTGTCCTGATGGTGATGATTGATTTCACATTAGGTACAAATTATAACATTTCATTATGACTAAACACCAGTGGAAAGTAAGTCTACAAACATTCTGCAGCCATGGACACTGTCACTAACTAAACCCACAGTTCCTGCTGATTTCTCGAGCTTATACAGTAGCTGCTGTCAGCGCACAATGTTAACAGGTTGTTCATACGCTCAAATTATCATTGCTATCTCATAATTATGAGATAATTTACTATCTTGTCATCACAAGATAGTTCTCTTGTTATTAAGAGATAAAAGATTTTTTTTTGCTTAATAGCAGCAATGCACTTATAAATGCACTATATTAAACAACCACACTTATAGAGAAACCTAAAGTTAATTTCTACATTCTTTCATAGTTTAATCATGTTTGAACTTCAATTTTCTAAGTTCAAGGAGTCTGTGAAGTTATTGTGCAGGTTTTGACATTAAATACACAAACAAAGACACTGCATCAGGCCAAGTATCTACTGAGTTCCTGTTATGATCAGCATCAGTCACACATTTGACACACAAGTTGCGCTACCAGTGACAAAAACCAACATATCACAACAACTGACACATATTGCAAAGTATTCTGCTTAATAAGCAATGCTGAATCAAAATGCACATTTTTAAAATTCTGTCAACTTAACATTTTATTGTTAAAGAAAAGAAGTGCCAAGGCTGCAAGCAGTAGGCAAAAACAGGGGAATTTAAATGCCTGGCAATAAAATGTGCCCATGTATACTTCCAACAAAGCAATGTACTGCTATGCAGGGAACTACAGTGTCTGTCGATAAAGAGTCAAGATAAAGCAGCACTCCATTGACTCCACATTCACTCCATACCCACCTCCAGGTAGGATGCTGTTGAAAATATTAACCTTCATTTCATCACTTGAAAAAGAAAAATCACATCAGAACCACAGCAGAAAAAGTCACTCAAGTCTCTCGGTGGGTAATTTAAGAAGCGTTGTAAATACTGAATTACCCTCCCATACTTCACAGTGTTGCTCTGATTTCATCTGTATTTAATTGACTACAAAAAAACCCATCTAATTTATATTAGAGCTCCCTCCCTCAAGAAACAGACAAAATGAGAAAAAAAACTCAGATTAAATCTAAAATAAAGGTTGTTGGATTTTATTAATTATTTGAATTAATTATGAATTTGAGAAGTTCCTATAAGAAGCTACTCTGAAAACTACGTTTCTAGTGTCCATGAATCAGAATTTATGATACCTCTTTAATGTTGGATCTTATAGTCAGTATATCTTGCAGATCTCAGAAACAGAAATATCTCACATTACTACTTGTCAACTTTATTCTGGTGAAGAACACCAAAGGTGGCACAAAATGAGACTGTAAAATACTACCATATTTTAATATGCTTGGTGTGATGTGTACTGACACTGATCGTGGAATCCTGAAAATCTGAATTTCACAACGGACAGTTTTCTCAGATGTTTGTGAGGTGTATATTTAAAGCACACACACGAAGCTGTTTAATTTTATTGGTTATTTAATCTCTTATGTCTATCACCACAAAACTGCACTTTAAAAAAAAATGGAGACAATAAAACTTCTCATCTTAAGAGGGCCACAGATCTCCAAGCCCTTCCAAACAGTTTAGAAGACATTAAAACCAAACAAAGTTGTAATACCACTTTATCATCCTGCCTTTTCATACCAATACCCTGGAAAACTTGAAATACCTGAAAGAATACTTCTTGTACTGCACCTCCAAAATAAATACAATTTTCTCATATCTCAGCTGCTTGTTCACACACTAACAAGATAAAAGAGCAATTTATCTCCATTGGGGATGTCAGTGGAACAAGTCAATGAACCCCCAATGAATTTCAATCTTGTAGCTTCACAGGTCATTGCTCTGAGGTTTCTCTATAGGGATCAATGAGCCTCTACACAGCACTGCCACCAACTAAGTACCCAGATAAAGGCTTGAGCAAGTGCAGATTTTACTAATAAAAGTAAGAAACCCCTAGTTTTCTTTCAATGGAGGGAACACAAATGCAGCACTAGCTACAGTACATTCTTTGAAGTTAAATTCATTAACTGATTTTATTTCAAGCTGCAATCCATACTGAAACTGTCAATTCACGCCTTTGATATTTCTCTGAAATCATATTTCATAGCAGCACACATAAATCAACAAAAAACCTGCCTCATCCAACAATTCCTGCTCCATGTCCAAATGCCAAGAGGAGCCCAATATATCAACAACTCAGACACACAGTTTCTGTCTTCACATCTGGGAATAAAACTGTCTTTAGGTTGTTCTGAACCACAATATAACAAAATATTTAACACCCTGTACAGTAAATTCTATATTGTGAAGTCAACCAGCTCGTTAACTTCAAAATGTCAATCAAGTATTGAAAATAGCCCTTTATACTGCATGTAACTGTCAATAAACCATTAAAGGTAAGCATCTTTAACTCCAATGACAGAGCAATATGCACATGCCATCAATCTGTCTTAAATTAATTTCTGTTTTGTCAATCTTTAAAAAGGCCATTAAGAACACCCCAACATTTTTTAAAAACTCCATTATGAAAATACCTGTATATATGTATATAGTATATAAGTGGTCAGAGACTTTATAGTCCATCAAGAGAGTGAAAGAACATCTTAATTCTGCTCTATTAGAATTACATACTTCACCAGATGGCAGATGTTTGTTTTTTTTCCAAACATCTGTCAATTGTGAAAGCCTATGCAGTGGAAGAAAATTGAGACTCCTACCTGCTCAAAAAATATCCCTAACCATGTAATAGGTATGACTTGAAGGTCACAGTGACAATTCTGCAATGGCATTGATACATTTCAATAGTAAGCATCTTAAAGGCCTCCAGTAGCTTCCTAGGAAATTAACTTAACTTCCTGAGACTACAATATAAGATTCTTTATAGCTGCTGCTATTTTGATATATGGTGCAGATATATTGTAAAAATCATTGAGATTGTTATGCACACAAGCATGTCTATTTGTGTGGATTAGATGGGTTCACTCCTATGATAAAATCACTTTATTAGCCATATACGGTACACATTTTTTTTGCATAAAGAATTCATCTTTTCGCATACCCCAGCTTGCTCTCCATGATTCACACAGACAGGGAGAGAAGTCTGGGGTCAGAGCACAGGGCCAGCTATTGTACAGCACCCCTAGAGCAACAGGGTTTAAGGGCCTTGCTCAGGAGCCCAACAGAGTAGGATTCCTCTGCCGGGATTTGAACCGCCAACCTTCCAGCCATAGGCGCAGATCCTTAGCCACAGAGCCACTGCTACACCCTAAGGTGCATGTGGTAGCTTTTAAGCACACGTAAATAAACTTTAGCACTCTTTACTATAACTAAACGGAACAGTAAGCAACAAGTTCTCAGCCGCCAGTGCAGTATACTTGTTTACACAGGCAAACAACCGGCAGATCCGGTCCAAGATCAAGCAACACTTTACAACAAACCACTATAACAACTATAACAGTGCATGAGTCCTTTACTGCTTTTAGCCATTAAAAAACTCTCCACCTGGCCAAAACAACATTGGGTAAGTTTTTACGCAGCAATGACTTCAGCTTGACTATTCCGATTTACAAAATAAAATGAGACAATGAAGCAACAGAAATTTACTGGAGCAAGTAAAAAATCATACTCCAGTAAACATTTTTTTAAAGTGCACTGTATAGCAAATCAACAGACAGGGATTAATGTAAGGTGGGGCATTAGGTTCTGGGACTCGGAAATGTAGTCTTCACAATCATATAAGAAATATTTTATAAAAATATAAAAATAAATATAAAAAATATTATTTAATACAATTACAGTGCACAAAACAAAAGCAAGACACTTAATGCAGTATTACAGGCATTGCTATAAACAACTTTCATAGTATTTATTACACTATAAATAACTTTACACTTCTACCTATTTACTGAATATCACACATTTATGACTATGGTATGGTAATGCACAGTGTATGAGTGTTAAACTGAAGATGTCTATTTGTTTTTACGACTAGACATAAAGGTATAAAATTAGTTTAAGCTGTCTGTTCCAAATGATGTTTTCTGACTCTATTTCCAAAGCTCCAGGCTATAGGAACCGACTTGTTTGTAAGTATAGCAGCAATGTACAGTATATTGCGAACCGGTGATGAAGACCCAACATACAGTGAGGCATTACTGCTCATATTACTTTCTACAGGTACCTACAATGACTAACTAGTTTAAATAATTGTACTTATTTAAATTGTTAAAATTATCATTATGCAATTTTAACGGACATACACACATCACACATACATCCACATATCCAAAACAAAAGAGTCCTTTCACTATCCTGCATTTTTGTAATAATAAGTAACACATTTTGGCCAATGAAATGCCAGCTGGAGAACAAGAGTAATTACTGGTCATTTGCTGGAATAGAAAATCAAGTCTCTAATGTTACACAATTTGAAATTTTACAAAATGAAATGTCTTGGCATGACAGGACAAGTTTTACTAATTTAATGCCTTAAGAAAAGTTAAATGTCTTAACAATAGTGTGGTGCATCCTCTTTGAAGTATAGACATTGAAACTGATATGCAACACATGTGGGTCAGACACTCTTCAACAAATATTGTGATAACTACTCTTACACCAGCATCAAACCCTACGTGACGTAAAATTGTCAAGATTCCAGTTACTGCTGTGTGTTGCATTGTGCTTTTCATTGGAAACTGCCAAAAAACGAAGCACATTCCAGGATTTCTAAGATTTTAGCATTTATTATATCATCATTTTTTAATTCTAACATTAAATTGCATTAATGTGCATATGAAAACGGCACAAACATCTTGATACTTTGCCAAAAGACCCAAACAAGTGGCTCTAGACCAAATCTGAGCAGTTAAGTTAAACAGTTAATATTCAAGTGGGGTGCTGTCAATGTGTTCTGTCCCAAAGGAACATGTTGTTTTTTTCCCTTCTTTTCAGTGTGAAATTTACCTTTTACATTTGTAGTTCAGAATCATGTTTACCCAAAAGGTTCATAATCAGAAACTGCCAAAGCAGTGAAATCAATACTCTTCTTTTCTTACCAAAACATTATCTAACTGTGAATGGGATACTTACGAGTAAAATATATTAAATCCAGTTAAATTGTAGGCAGCATCACTGAAAAAGTGCAGCAAAGCATAGCCAGATGTGGTAACGACTTCAGGCACCGTTTCATTCCCTCGCACCTCTGGGACTATAAGACCACTGGGGAAGAATAAACACAAACACAATTAGAACACAAAAAAAAGTTATTAACCACAGAGCTCCCACTGCAAGGGTATTATAAGTGTTAAATATTTTGGCCCACTTTTGTTATTTCCTCCTGGGAGCACCAATGCACAATTTCGAACAGAAACTAGATACAGCAGGATTAAGGAGTGCTCATTATATAGGTCTATCAAGGACATTAAACCTCTCTTTTGGAAATAGGAAATTTTTCATTTATTAATCTATGATAAACCAGTCACTGTGTGGTAGCACAGTGAAGGCTGTGAACTACTAACACTGCACAGAGCCGTGTTTAACTTTAAAAGTTGTTGGCAATGGGAGTAATACCCCCAAATACACACTCCTTAAATTAATGTCCAGTTCAAGCCTTGCTTCTAAAGTCGGTTTTGGTCACTATAAAACAATGGAGGCAAAAGTCACTGAGAATTTGAATGTGCACAAGCACAAGCATTTTTAAAAATTAATAGAAATTGCTCTCTTATTCCGAAACTGTCGGATGGCAAAACAGCTGGTATGGAGATTTCTAAACATGGTAGGCTAGTGGCGATTTTTAAAAGACAAACTAAATTAAAACAGATTAGATTTAACAACAGAATGAGAGTAACCATGGCTCTGAATCCATTCCTTTATGGTGAGGCAATTAATTATAACAGAAAGATTAGTGAATTAGTAGTTTAATGAATCTCTGCACACCAAGGGGATTTATGCAAATAGATCAAAAACAGCATAATAGGCCTTTAGAATTACTGCATTTTCTGCTCATTACCCCAGTACTAATTAGAGCTCAGGAAAAACTAAAATTGTCTCTTAATTTTTCAGGACTTGGAAATATGTATTTAATTTTTTTTTTCCCCCATCAAGAGACAGAGCTGAGCTGCTAGTCTTTTGGTCTTTCTGTATGAGAGCTGAATGAAATGCAGTATGCTATAAGGAACACTCCAGAATACATGTAATATGTTTTAAGTCAAACTTAACTCAAGCTTGAGAAATAAAACTTAACTCAAGCTTGAGAAATAAAACTTAACTCAAGCTTGAGAAATACCTCTAGCATGTTTACAGCCCTATTACTCTTCAAAACCTTTATTGATGTGGCCAATATACTGTACTTTTATTGACTTCTTCAAATTGACCCTTTTTGTAGCTGAGCCCTCTTTCTACTATGCCCCAATATTTGGATGCCAGAATTAAATTTTCTTCCTCATTTTCAACAAAACTCTAAAATGTCCACTTGTTCTGGTATCATACGTTTTATACAGTGTTAATCATGCTAAAGCGCTTTCAAGCACTGTACTCAGAAGAACAAGGTGATAAGTGCATGAGCATGATAACTCTACTACCAAATCAGTGTTATCAAAAAAACTTTATACTACACAAAAAAAGATTCAGCATTCCTAATGTCTAAGTGCAATGCTGTCTCCACAAATTAGGGAAGGAGCAGAAATAATGGTTCTATCCCATGTTGAGCTTATTAGTCATTCACTTCATTTCAAAATGTATTTTCTCAACACGCTTTACATTTTAATTGTAAAAATTGTATTGGCCTATATTGCATTGGCAATTCTGAAAACTGGCAGGTATAATTTATGCCTGGCTTGGGAATGGAGAGCCTATTGTAAAAGCTTTTTTAGCATAAACTCTTAAACTACCACAAATGTGCCTTAATTTATATTGATGAATATGAAAGGGTATGATTCTGACAGATTCTGTTAATCTGCAAGGAACAGAATCAAGAATTAAAACAACACTTCTGAATTTAGTAAATTTGCTGGAGCCTCAATCCACCAGATGATGAGCAGATGGAAAATAAATTGGAGGCTATTAAACAGCCATGATGGACAGTTAAGATGTTTAAATGGGTTACTACAGTCCTAATTTCTCAGACCAGTGATTAAATCTTGTTAACAAAATAAATTAAGATAGTATCTAATAATTTTACAAATTCCGAATTAAGCACAAAACTATGAACTTTGTGAAAGTACTGTATAGTTGTTATGCTGTCACAATTGGTCTCACCACAGGCTAGAGAAAGAGTTTGCACAAATTTCAACATAAAGCAGCCTGTCCTTCTCACTGGTCACAGTCAAGACTAATGTAAGATTCGAGCAAATAAGTACAGGTTGTGCAGCAGACATTTACCGCAGAAATGTTCCAACGTGATCTGCACACAGAGTTAACAATTTGTCGGCAACACTGTCGTGAAATCTAGAGCAATATTTTAGATTAATAGAGCTGTATTCACAAGCCTGCTTGTTCACAATGTATTAGGACTGCTTCACACCACAGAATTATTCTGTATAGCAGAACATGACACTGCACATACCTGGAAATTTTGTCTATTGTTTGACGCAAATTTGAGATTTTACATATTACTGAGAATAATTTACTTTAAATTGTATGTTGTGATCCTAAGAACAACTCTGGAGCCAGAAGTTCTAAAAACAAGGATTATGAATCTATGAACCACTTCACAAGTTACTGGATCAATATAATACTCATAATGGATTATTAGTATTCCATTATAGAAAACTAATGGATGATATCCATCATAGGCATCCAAGTACTGATGTGATACAAGATCTGAGCTGAGCACCAAAAAATCTGGCAGCTACATATGGAACAAGACTGAACTTTCTTTAAGTGTTAACAGTTTTGCAACAATTTGCTCCATGGTAATAATTGCATAATATTTCTTCCCACATTTCCAATTTGGACCCATAACAAATCAAATGCAAGGTCAAACACTGTGGTCTTTCTATCTGTGGCAAATCATAAATGCATGACTGGTTTGAAGTCAAGGCTTTATATACATGGCAATTTCAACCACTTGCAATACTTACAGTTTTCATTAAAATTGCTGATTATGTTTATGATATATGTACAGTGCCTTGACAAAGTATTCAGACCCTTGTAGCTTTTGTTTACACTTTGTTGTGTTGATATACTGTACTACCTACTCCACACATTCAAAGCAAAAAACAAAAACATAGTAGCTAGCAAATAACGAAAGAAAAATGGAGAAGTCACAATTGCCTAAGTATTCAACACTTTGTAATGGCAATTCTAAGTTAGTATAGACACACAAAGTTACTTTAATGAATCAGCAAATTAACTGAGAGGCCTCTGTATACAATAAAAGTGGTTCTCATGTTTTCAGGAGAAAATGTCCTGTCTCTGTGTGGTTCTTTAGTCATGCAGTGAATTTCAAACTTACATACTAAGAGAAGGGTACAGAAGCTATTGAGGTCTCTGAATATCCCTGGCAACACAGTCCAGTCAATCATCAAGAAATGGAAATGGAAGGTCCATTTTACCACTTAAACACTACATAGATCAGACTGTGCCTACAAGCTGAGCGGTGGGCAAGGATGAAACCAGAGAGGGCCAACTACAACTTTGAAAGACCTATAGAGTTCAATAGCTGAAATGGGAGAAAAAGTCCAGGATCTAACAATATGTAGAACAGGTCACAAAACTAGACTGTATGGCAGTGACAAATCCATCTTAAAAACCGCACAGAGTTTGCAACAAAGCATTTAAGAGACACTGCAATCTTTTTTTTCTGGACAGACAAAATTATTTTATGTGTAATGCAAAACATTAGATGATTTCCATGTGCAAAACCAATACAGCACTTCCATCAAATCAACACCATCCTTACTGTCAAGCATGGTGGTGGCAGCATCATGCTTCACAACAGCAAGAGACTGAAAGCTTGTTAGAACGTGAAGGAACAAATGGATGTAGCAAATGTAAAGGCTAAGAGTAGCCTGTTTCCATCTGCTAAAGATTTAAAACTGGGACAAAAATTCGCCTTTCATCAAGACAGTGATCCAAAGACCAGGCCACAGCTACAATGGTGTGACTTATTCTTTCAGAGGCCCAGTCCTGATTTGAATCCTATTGAGAATCCATGGAAAGAATAGAAAACTGCTGTCTATAGTATTCCTAAAGCAACTTTAGTGAGCTTGAGAAAATCTACTAAGAATGTGCAAACAAGTTACCAAGCCAGTATGTAAAGTTGGTAGACACTTAAAAACATCTGCAGCAGTAATTCCTGCCAGCATTACTACCACCAAATACCAAGTTCACCGGTCTGAATACTTATGAAGTCCAGAAATTTAGATTTTCTCTATTTAGGTTTGGCTGATGTTCAATGTAGCCTAGCTTTCTCTTAGAAGCCTTTCATTTAATTCAGTTTTTGAATGACGTTTAAAACATGCTCATGCATCGTTTTGTAATTTCACAGAATGGGACACCACGGGAAGGATCTGAATACCTTTGCAATGCAAAGTAAATACTGTATGTGCACTGATAATATACAAAATTATAAAATCAAATTTAAGATGCACTGTATGCAAAACATAAGACATGAATCAATGCTGGACAAAATATTTTTTTTGAAATGCAGTGAAATAACATTGAGCTACAAACTGCTACAAAGGTGTGTATATCCTTATTTTTGAGAAAAACTAACTTCCCTTATGGTACCATCTCATCACAACAGCACACAATTACCTAATGAGTCAAAAGAATCATTCAACTGTTTCTTGGCTGCATTATTTAGAATAAATGAAATTTAAAACAAATATGCAGAAGTTCAGCAGAAAATAATATGTAACAGATGTTTTATCTCGATTATCTTGACAACACTGAGTGGTGAAACATGAAGTTAACCAAGATAGCCACTTGTAGAAATTACAGATGTAAATTTCTATCAAGTTGAGGGACTGAAATAGTACAGAATCAATTAATAACACCCGTCTCTAATGACTCCATAGTACTCATTGTAACACTAAGATGACTATTACACATCATCACTAGCTGTGGATGAGAGAACCAAACAGCTGCCACAGTCAAGCACATACTAAAGTACTTTGTTTGCACTGAGAGCAGCAGAAAGACCTGGAGAAAAATAACATCAAAAAGAGTTAAGCTGGAGTATGTACATTAAGTATCTTACTTTGTAGATAGAACAATTCACAGTAATATAATTAAAACAGTCATACTTACCTAAACACTGCTATCAAAGGCGCATATATAGAATCCCCATCATATACATACATGTGGTCCCAGCTACATTCTGTAGCAAAATGGTTAAACCGTAACCTTAGAACAGCATTTGGACTGAAAATGGCAAAATAAAGAAAAATTAGTGAAAGTCATATGGCTTACTTAAATCCTCTTATAGTACAAAGAACAAAAACATACTGTTCATTTTATCCTCACCATAAGCATTTAATGTTACAGTACATTACACTAGAACTTACAAGCACTTATGTGCTGTATGCCCAGTGCATATTAAGCACATTGATCCGTACTGAATCACAGCTTCAATGAATTGAAAAATAGTTGTAATTATTTAATCTACAAGAGCACTTTGTTACTAACTCACAATTCTGGTTTGTGCAAAATATATCCAAAAGGTAACACCAACAGATTTTTCCATTCAACAAATTGCTAGAAGCAATATTTACAATTTTTGCTTTCCTACAGGGATAATTTCTAAATTTAAGACAATACTTACTACCCCTCAATCAGCCAGGTACACTTTGTTTTGTATTTATAATTGATCGGTCCATCTGTTAGATAACCCGATGGCTCAGTTAACCTGAAAAAGACAGAAAGGGACAATGCTAATACTTCACTTTTGATTTTACAATGTATGGAATATATCTTTTGTTTTTTACAATGGAGACTGTTCAGAAAGACAAAAATAATAAACATTTTCACAAGAAAAGAGAAATGAATTGCATGAGAACACTGTTGTCCAGCTTTACAGTCCACTGTTCCACATTATGACAGGTTGGGGAAAAGCAGATTCTAAGATTTAAAATACAGGTTTCAGGCCTTAGCGAAACGCAGATCAATATTTTTTTGACAGGTGACAAGGCATGGTACTTGCAGTATCATTAAAACAAAACACTGCACACAAAGCAGGTGGGACCTGCTGTATACATAACAAAAACAGTCAGCACATTGACACATCTTAGACAATTCAGGGCTTTGAGGCACAGAAAATCATAATCCACACTCTTCAACTTCAGCAAGCAAAATATCTGTCAATAGTGTCCGTTGCTGCCACCTTCGCTGCTTTTTAACCTGATTTCATTACATTTCAGAACTTACACAAAGCTGTGCTAGGACAACACTTTGGAATTGTACTCTAAAATTATTGGTACACTTGTTCTACAAAAATTGTAATACAGTAGGTATTTTCCATTTTAAGGCCTTGCTAGATTTCATTTTTTTCTTGCAAACTGTTTACAGTAAGAGTTCATTAGATTAAGTAACAGTTGGAGCTGCATTAGCATATTCAAAAGACATCTGAACAGAAAACACATTCCTACAGAACATCCCATCTGCTATATACTAAATTCCTTTATTTAGAGATCAGTAAGGGAGAACCAGAATACGGACCTAGTGTAAAACTGCTACATGTCTGAAGCAAAGATACAAAACAAAGATATGGTTTATCCTCAAGAGCAATTTTTCCCAAGGTAGCACAACAAAAGTGAATTCATCAGTGAATTCTGCTACAGTAGAGTATTATAAGGCATGTAATACCTCAACTGGAAATAATAACTTATAACCCATGCATACCTTCTAACCAGCCCACATGCTGGTATTCTAAGTAATTCAAAGATATACAAGAAAATACTGTTTTGCAAGTACAGGTCAGTCAGCCCATCTAAGGCTGAAGTTTTCAAATACACTGATTTGTTCACAGTTTAGTTTGGACAGCTTCCTGAGTCCCTGCATCTCCAAAGCATTGTGATTTATTCTATGTTTTATTTATTCTAGGATAATTCTGGATGGAAGAAAAGGTTCAGTTTTGCTTTCTCACATACTAGTTGCCAAGTTTTAAATGTTGAAATATCTACTGGGTCCATCTTATTAAATCCCTTTATAATTTTGAAAACCTTCCTTCTTCAACATTCTCTGAGCTCATCAAGTTCTGGAATATGTCTTGGTGTTTTTCTTTGATCTTTCTCTGCAGCTTCTATAGCCTTCCTGTAATGTAGACACCATGTACACAATATTCCAGATACAGTCTCAGTAACACTATAACCTTTCTTGATTTGTGTTCTACTTTTTTCCACTATCTAGGCACTTTTTGCTTTTTTTCTTGCTTCAGAGAATTGCCTTGATACTGACAGTGACAAATCTACCACCACACTTGTATCTTTTTCCCACTGAGCACTTTCTATTTCTGTGCCAGGATACTGTATATGCTTTACATTTTTCTTACATGTACACACAACTTCACAATTTAGATTTATAGCATGTATTGTATCTGGTCATTTTTTAGACTTGTAGACACTAATTGTATGCTACTTCTTAAACTTTGTTCACTTTGTAGCAAATTTAGTAGTAGTACACTTTACAACAACAAATTTGTACTCCAATCTAATTGAAAATGAAAACACTTTCTCACGCGTTTCTAAATTCTGCAATACAAGACCAAATAGTAATTCTGGATGCTTGTCTCCAAGTTTGTGTTGCCTTTTTTTATACATTCAGTTTACAGTAATATTTGAGCTGCATGCAGATAAGTATTAGAAAAACAGAAGTAATTTTTATAAAGTACATTTATCATAAGACTACAGGACACAGTTTTATTCCTATTAGTAATAGGATTAATAATAATTGCTTACACTTATATAGCACTTTTCTGGACATGCCACTTAAAGTACTTTACAGGTAACGGGGACTCCTCCACCACCACAATGTGCAGCATCCACCTGGATGATGCGACGACAGCCATAGTGCACCAGTACACTCACCACACATCAGCTACCAGTGGGGAGGAGAGCACAGTAATGAAGCCAATTCATAGATGGGGATTATTAGGAGGCCATGATTGGTAAAGGCCAATGGGGAATTTGGCCAGGACGCCGGGGTTACACCCCTACTCTTTTTGAGAAACACCCTGGGATTTTTAATGACCACAGAGAGTCAGGACCTCAGTTTTATGTCTCATCTGAAGGATGGTGCCTTTCTTTAACAGTATAGTGTCCCCATCACTATGGTGGCTTGCCAGTTGGGAGTTGCAGGGTGATATGGCAGCTGGTCATATTACTAAGTGCTTTTATTTAGGTGAAGTTCAACTGCTATAAAGCTACAGCACAACTTTGAATAAAACACAGCAGCTGAAAGTAGGGTTTCATATTAATGGCACACAGTAATCCTTTAAGTCACTGAGGAACTTAAGCAACTGGACTGTATCTGCAGTACTGTGAAGCCTTCATGTTAACATATTTAACAATATGGTGAAAAGAGAAGAGAGAAAACAACGTTTCGGCTGTGAAGCCTTCCTCAGGTGTGAACCTATTACTTGTTCTTTTGCAGACTATGCATGCTGACGCAGCTACCCACCTGAACCTATTTAACAATATAGTTCTTTTTCATTCCATTCTTAATTCAAACTTGCTTTATTTCGACATTGACTAATATTGTGAACAGGAGACATAAAAATGATGTCAAAACGAAAGGATATATTTTATCATCAGGCTATTTATTGGGGGCAGAAGTGGTAACCATTTTTTTAATTATTTTTCTTTAAATTGGATTTGGCTCGTTTAATAAAATATTCTTGAATGTACAGTCTAGATAAAATCAAAACTTCAGTCAAACAGGCAATGGGCAATTTCTAACCTGGTGCTTTGATTTTGTTTTGTCATCTGTGCTTGGCGGATGATTTTAAGGTTTAAATTAATCCAGCTGTAGATGGAAGCTGGAATTTACACACAGAAGTGACAGCAGTACGTGCCTTCACTTGATGATGAATGAAATGGCTATACACAAGACATCACATTCAGACCTAATGTCTTTAATGATTAAACTTCCTACAAAGCATTAAAAATAACTTAAATTACTTTAATAGACAGGTCAACACACTCTTTCACAGCAAAGTACTCAATCGGAAATAATGCACCCACCCACGGAAAGACAAGGCAGCTTTTAAATCTTTGCTGGAACTAGCATCTTTTCTGTTGGACTTCCCTTTTATTCCATTTTGACTCTTAATTTGACTCTTACAGCTGTGCCAAATTAATTCATGAAGCATTGTAGATACAATTCCCTCACTAATTTCTGCAATTGCACACATAGTTGAATTATATTTTTCTTACTTTTTCCCCAGCCTAAACTGTGGGGGATGGGGGTGGGGAAGGGGAAGACTGCTTTATCACAAACATATAGGGGTGGGGAAAAAAAATAACATCCTTATGGCTTTTGTAGGGCACCAAAATTACCCTTTTGAAAATAATGAACTGAGTTGGCAACAAAGGCAGTAACACCAGTATGAACTAACGGTCTAGTACCCTACCCTTTGAAGCAAACTCCAGAGTTCTACTTCAATATTTTCAAGATGTTTAAATTGCCAATTAATAAGAATGATTTGAAATGTGTGGCCCAGCACAAAACCTGTTAGAAAACGAAACATTGTCTTTTTTCTCAATCCGTCCCTCTTGAATTTACTCAGAATTAATTAAACCTGTCATTTATATGAAACAGGGGAGCTACTGAATGCTTCATTAAATAAATGAGTATAATTTTCAATTTGAAGACTTCAATAAAGCTCACAGTGTATTTTAACTACAAAAAAATACAAATTGCAATATAATCTAACTAGAAAATGATAACATCCATCTCAGAAAATAAATTCCTAATCTGAATTTGTATTCTTGCTCAACTAATTAAAAACCTACTTCCACTCTCTACAGCAGTAAGAACAGGAGAAGGTGTAGAAAACAATTATAAATACATGCACTATTTTGCCATTAAAATCTGATATCAATTAATAAAAGATGGAAAAGATTAAAAGGCCCCAGATATTTTCCTGCAAAATTGAAGGGCAAGTAGGATGGCTGAGTTCTTCTCACACATTTTACATTTGCTGTGGTTAGATGAACTCTGTAGGTAAGACATTAAATTGCCCAATCATTATAAAAAACAAAAAAGACATGAAAGCTGATCAGATCAAGGGGTTCTGAAAACTGATGATCCTTTAGATTTTATTCAGCACAGACCAAGTACTGTACCTTGTCTACAGGATAATTGGCTTTAGTTTCACAGCACTGTGAAAACTGTTCTAAACCCAAGGCCTAGCCAATACATCTCATTGAAGAGCGGAACAGTATAATTAGCTCAAGTCTCGCTATTGTGTTTGCAAACCCCAGGAACATGTCTTTGGTTCATGCCATCATCTTACAGAGACCTTTTAATGAAGAGCGACCTGGCCATCCAAAAAAGAAATTTGTTTGGGGACGTTTGGCTAATAATTGATCTAAATAATAATCGATCAACAATGTTTTAAAAATACATTACAGCCAACACCAACTGTGCAGTAATGTCTTCCACAGAACAAACACAACCATTCCTAGTCATGAAGAAAGCCATAAAGCTGTGGGTAAACTCTCTATATGGGACTTCAGTGCATTTTGTAAAAATTCAGATAACTGCAGAGTTAGAAACACTGTAACTGATTACAGTGAGCAGGAGCACTGTAACTGATACACCTCCTTAATGATTAATGATAGTCCACAAAGATCAAAGCATTGCTATGTAGAAATAGCTGCGATATTCAGTTAAGAGGGTAAATGAGTT